TGGGAAAAAATCAAAATCAGTTAACGGGTTCCGGCGTTTTAAAAAAATTAACTCATTAAAAATATATGAATTTTATTCCTTACTTCTGGCCATCCCTATAGGTAGATATATAATTATTTCTGAGGGGTGGGCTTATAATAAAAATATATTAAAAACACATAACAGTTTAATTAAAACAAACTTTATAAGTACAGATAAGTTAAAATTCGTTATCTTCTGTCTCACTTAAGTAGCCTTTCTAAATCGGGATCTATATCTCTGTCTACTGCTTCCAAATTTTCATAAAGTAAGGTTAAGTACACATGAATGATGATATATGATATATTGTATGTTAATATTGTATAAAATATTGTACTGTATTATTGTTCTCGAAACAAGTCATTACTTATCGAGTATATGTTTTATTACTTCTTTATGCTTATTATTCTTACAATTAGTATTAAGATTAGATTCTAAAATTGATTATTGTACATTGTTGGAAAGGATGTAGCATAGGTAAATAATCATAGTTATAGGTGCACTTACATCTATTTGATATTATGCAAAATAGATTTTTGTTCAGTTCATAGTAAATGTGAAGATATAAGTCTACATAATTCATTTAGAAATCGGGCTATAAAATAAAATTGGTTATATATAGACTTATATCCCTTTGGCATTTGATGGCTGGTATTGTTCTGGACATATGGCAATAAATAGACTTATACCTTTTTGCCACACACACACACACACACACATATAAAGTTTATCCCTATATTTACTTATTTTCCAGACATGTCGACTTTAAATCACACCGAGACAAAGTACAACACAAGTTGTAATGGATTTTATTCACACCACATACTAACTAACAAGCAATAGCAAGTTATAAAAAACGAATGATCAACTACTGAAAAAAAAAATGTACAATGGTAATTCTTATAAAGGGCAGAGACCAACCGTATTTTATTAAAAAATTCAGTCATAAGTGGCTCATGTCATTTGTTTATATTTGTTATAAGATTTACCATTGTACATTCTTTTTTCTGTAGTTGATCATTTGTTTTTTTTTTAATTTATTATTTGTTAGTTAGTATGTGATGTGAATAAATTTAAGTTTTTCTAAATGTTTTATTTCAGACATAATTTTGTTCTCCACGACCTTCATAAATTACTGCAAGAGACGAGACCACCGTAAAATTTTTGACTAAGAAATATGTCCAGAGACTTACGCGATCTCCTAAATTTGTTTCTAAAATATATATTTTTTTGAGACGTGTCTGTTTACTATTCATTATGTAAAATTTTCGTTGTCTAATACCGATTAANATTATTTCTGAGGGGTGGGCTTATAATAAAAATATATTAAAAACACATAACAGTTTAATTAAAACAAACTTTATAAGTACAGATAAGTTAAAACTCGTTATCTTCTGTCTCACTTAAGTAGCCTTTCTAAATCGGGATCTATATCTCTGTCTACTGCTTCCAAATTTTCATAAAGTAAAGTTAAGTACACATAAATGATGATATATGATATATTGTATGTTAATATTTTATAAAATATTGTACTGTATTATTGTTCTCGAAACTCATTACTTATCGAGTATATGTTTTATTACTTCTTTATGCTTATTATTCGTACAATTAGTATTAAGATGAGATTCTAAAATTGATTATTGTATATTGTTGGAAAGGATGTAGCATAGGTAAATAAACATAGTTATAGGTGCACTTACATCTATTTGATATTATGCAAAATAGATTTTTGTTCAGTTCATAGTAAATGTGAAGATATAAGTATACATAATTCATTTGGAAATCGGGCTATAAAATAAAATTGGTTATATGGGACTTATATCCCTTTGGCATTTGATGGCAGGTATTGTTCTGGACATATGGCAATAAAAATATCAAATGGGGATTAAGTAGACCTTTTTGCTTTTTTGCCACAGAAATATAATAATAATTGCTCGAAATGTATACTATTATTTTCAGTCCAGGAATTTAACCTTCGCTGCGTGTTTAGGTAGATTCTTTTATGAACGTATTTTATTTTGGTAATTAAATGTCTTTTCGTTAGTGTCGTGTTCCTCAATTCATTATCATTATTTATTTTTTGCTCACTAATTTGCGAATAACTTGATAACAAAAAAATATATCGAACCCTCTTTGGCGTCAAAATGTAGCTATTTTTATGCTCTTCAAACTAATTTATAAAAAGTTTTATCCTAAGCTTGGATAAATAGCGCCAATAAATAAAAACACTTTCGTTATAAATTTCAAACATATCATATATTCATAAAATTTTTGTGCTGAATTCATTTATGTATACGTATAGCATTGCATTTAAAATTTTTGAGAAAAATCCATAAAACGGCATTCTTTTGAAATAACGCCATTTATAGGTTTCCAGACAATACGCATTCACCACGAGATAAAACATGAAAAGTCCTTTTCAAAGAGGTATAACACCATGGGCTGTTGATGAGCCAATCCTCTAAGAAATACATTTTTTTATCAGATATTAGGGACTTCCCCCACCCTTTTGGTCGAGAGATAGAATAAAATGTCAATAACAAAAGTTACGCGCAATGAATCCGGCTATTCATTTCTAAAAAAAAATCAACTCTATGTTTTGGTATGTAGATTGCGCCCCTAGCGGCCAAACTACGGACTTGAAAACCATTTCCAGCGATTTCTCTAGGTCGATTTATTCAACACAATTTTCCCCAAAGTTCTGGTGTCGTGCATCGCCGACCTTAGTGGGACAACTTGTATGCATAATATTTAGATTTCCGATATCGTAGAATGTTGTTTGATTTCATTTGATATGACTTGTTGGAATTTGCTTAAAACCTCAAGAATAAAAATATGTGAGCTAATAATAAAATATATTATATATATCTATGAAAATATCCATTATACATTAACATTATACTAATTACTGATGGAATAAACCTTTTACAGATTTAAACCAGGAATGACTTTCTGGAGCTAATGAAGGCTCATCAGTTGGTGGTGGTGGGGATGGCTCTCCGCTTGGTGGTGGTGGCGGTGAAGATGGATCCTCTCTAACGATAGGTTCGTCACTTGGTGGTGGTGGGGGAGAAGATGGATCCTCTCTAACGATAGGTTCGTCACTTGGCGGTGGTGGTGACGGTCCATCACTTGGTGGAGGTGGGGGAGAAGATGGAGCTTCTTTAACGATTGGTTCGTCACTTGGTGGTGGTGGTGGCGGTGAAGATGGATCCTCTCTAACGATGGGTTCGTCACTTGGTGGTGGTGGTGGAGAGGGTCCGTCACTTGGTGGGGACGGTTCATCACTAGGAGGTGGTGGGGGTGAAGATGGATCTTCTTTTACTATAGGTTCGTCACTAGGAGGTGGTGGTGGGGATGATCCGTCACTTGGTGGGGACGGTTCATCACTAGGAGGTGGTGGGGGTGAAGATGGGTCTTCCTCTACATATAGTACTATTTTCGCATGGTGATCTTCTGGAGCGTGCCTCCACGAATCATGGTGGTTGTGATGTTCACGTCTGCGATCAATCCTTTGATGGTGTTCAGGTCCATAGTAAGGCACCGCCTGTAAATAATAATCTACAGTTACTTCTGTCAAAACATTGGAAATTTTGTTTGGTGAGTATCAGTAGGACCAACATAACTAAAATATTTGCAAGTTTCTAGTAGGTACACTGGATTATAAAAGAAACCGACGTCAAAATTATTATTTTAACTGTAATATATTTTTAAATCCCATCATACTTTAAGCTTTGTAATTAAATGTATAGGCATTTGGAAAGCTGTGATAAAACAAAAATGGGTTTGTATATTAATTAAGCGTATTATTTGGATAATAATGTGACGAGGTAGACAGTGTACTTCGACACAGGGAAATATTTCGCCACGGGTGTTATAGGAGAATAATACCTTATAACACCCGTGGTGCCTTCAATGTCCTACTAAAGTCTGTTTAGAAATGAAAGAGAGTAATAAAAGCTTATTATGTATGCAAATCGTAAATAAATGTAGTACTGGTGCTTATATTCAATATTTTTATATTATGTATTTTCGGTATAGGGGAGGTGTACTTTTAAAAAAACTTTGTGTGACCGGGTTGTACTAAATTGTAGCAGGTAGCTAAAATTTAATCCCCGACAATCCGTCTTTGTCTATGCCGCTTCAATTTCTCGGTCCATTTCTCTTATAAGTAAACAATATAAAAACAGCATTTCAAAACATGAGGCTACTTTAAGCATCATAACCGGGTTAAGAGGGTTTTTAGTAATTCAAATAAAATTATTCAATATTATTATCAAAATATTTATTTAAATTTAATGAATAGACTTTTATTCCACACAAAAATATATGTATTTTGAAAATTCAAATTATGGTGAGTAAATGTAGTGTTGTATAAATGTACAATAAAGAAAATAAAAAAGTAGGTATATTAAAATTCATCCTCTGAATATTCTGATGAATTATCTTCGTCTCCTAGATTGATAACGATAGGTTCCACAGTAACGTCAATTAAATTATCGAGTTCCCACATTTTCTCCTCTTCTTTTTGTACATGATGTATACATCTTTGCCAGTTATCTGCAGTTACTCGTTCCAAGGAATTTTTTAACAAAATTTTCANTCACTTGGTTGGGACGGTTCATCACTAGGAGGTGGTGGGGGTGAAGATGGGTCTTCCTCTACATATGGCACTATCCTCGCATGGTGATCTTCTGGAGCGTGCCTCCACGAATCATGGTGGTTGTGATGTTCACGTCTGCGATCAATCCTTTGATGGTGTTCAGGTCCAAAGTAAGGCACCGCCTGTAAATAATAATCTACAGTTACTTCTGTCAGAAATAGTCACTATTCCTACGGGAAAAGATGCTAACAGAAAACATTGGAAATTTTGTTTGGTATCAGTAGGACCAACATAACTAAAATATTTGCAAGTTTCTGGTACTCTGGATTATAAAAGAAACCGACATCAAAATTATTATTTTAACTGTAATATATTATCATACTTTAAGCTTTGTACTTAATTAAATTTTGAAAAAAAAATTAAACGTATTATTTGGATAATAATGTGACGAGGTAGACAGTGTACTTCAAAAAAAAGTTAGGTTAAATTTTATAAAGCGAAAATAAGTAGTGTTGTTTCCCAGTTTTTCTAAAATATATTTATATACATTTTTCAATTAGTCTGAATAAAATAAAAACTATAAAAGTTTCTACCTATATAGGTACATATTATGTTATTTTGATGATAAGAATTTGAATTTTACATAGAGGCCTATACAGAGACAAGTTTGTGTTAAATTCTTATCTGTTTCGAAAATTTAGTTACAATGTCAATAGTTCTGGCATAAAATACAGATATTTAAGCACCAGAAGTTAACTCGATGTACCTAACTGATTATAATTTCAAAGTATGTGTGCAATAGTAGTAAACAATATTCCTATTAGCTGGAATTATAAATTATTATTTTCTATAGGAAAATGTCTATTAAACAAATTTAGTACTTATTTCCTTCAATAGCTTTTATGTCTGTAAAATTAAATTCTATACAGCTCTTCTGGATATATTTTGAGAAACATTTGTGGTAACTCTACGAGCAGCAAATATCATGTAAAAATTTCACCACGGGCAATTAAAGAAGAAAACAAAAAACAAATTAATAATTATATGAATTGCTCACCTGTACTGCCACGATTGCTACTAAAGCCACAAGAACAATGCTCTGGAACTTCATCTTTGATGATTGTGTGATTTTTGTGGGCACCGAACTCTATTTATATTTTTCTCTGTGGGGGATATCGACGTCTCCCTCTGTCTTTTTCTATTTAAATTTAATTTTAGAAATAGAAACGTAGATGTCTCCCACTGATAATACAAGATAATACAAGATAATGCAAGTTAAAAAATTCCATTAACTTCGTGTTTGAAATTTTTGTATACTTACCGGTAATTTGTGAGACTACGAATGGAAATTGGCCTTTAAATTTTCTTTGTAGTGCAGTGTTATGTATACAGTTACTATAAACATAGTGTGGTAGACAAGGGCTGAAACTCAGTCTTTAGACTTTTGGAATAGTTAGGCTGGCCAGACCCAAACAAATAACTATTTATTATTTGAGCTGGAGCGTTGCGCTATGAAAATAACATCACGCTGTTGTACTATCTAGCACTTTCCGTGCACCTAACCCCCTACACTATAGGTCCCATAGCGAGCTCGCGTGATGGAAATTTTTTAACTAAATAACCGCTGACAAAAAAAATCATCATGTTGCGGCGAAAGATTTAGTATTTGAGGGCAAATAATTTGACACAGAAAATCATCGCATATTAGTTCCAGTGGTGGAGATAGAGGGGTTTCTATGAATATTTTTATAAAAAAAAGTATAGGCGATTTGATATTTTGCAAATGTTTTCGAAAAATATGAAAGAGCATTCAATTTTACCCAGAAAAGGCCCTCTTGTCCAAAGTCGATAGGAGGTGGCGTTTTCAAGAAAAACCGAAAATACTGTTTAGAAGTCAAATAATAATTTTTAAACATTGTGTTACAACTAAATTAAATATGTAGTTCAAAAATTCGGTTAAAATTGTTTTTAATTAATTAAATGAAAATAAATACAAAAATAAATAACGAAAACCATATTACATCAAAGCAAATGTTCGAAATGTAAACCATTTTCTTCGATACATAACTGACACCGACGCTGAATAGAACGTCTCATTTGAATTAAGTTATTGTCTCTGATTTCACTGCATGCGTTCCGAATCCGACGAATAAGTTCATCCCTTGTGTCCACAGTAGTGGTATAAACTCTCTCTTTAATAAAACCCCAGAGGAAAAAATCTAGGGGTGTCAGATCAGGGGATCGGGGAGGCCATGCAACGATACCCCCGCGGCCAATCCATTTTTCGGGAAAGTGGGTGTTCAACCAGTTCCTGACATTTTGGCCAAAATGAGCTGGACAGCCATCAAGTTGAAACCATGCTCGCATTCTCAAATTCAGAGGAATTTCCTCCCACATGTTGGCACTCGCGGTCTCTAAGAA